CGGCAGGGGCCGGCAGGCTGAGGCCAGCAGGCCCACGGCATGTGCCCACAGCGCAGCTGGCTGGCCAGAGCGAGAGGAGGAGCAAGGGGGTGGGGGGAAGGGCCAGGGCGCAGGGCAAGGCAGGCCAGGGCGCAGGGCGCGCGCCTGGGTTGAAGGGCTGGTCAAACTCAACCAGCTTGCGGCTGTGCCCCGTGGCGTCGGCCACCAGGCTGCCAGACACCGACACGCCGCCATCCAGCGCCACCGTGGAGCGCCCGCCGCCGTGGGTCACGTCCAGGGCCTGCGGGCGCAGGGAGGGAGAGGGGCGGCGGGGAGCGGGGGGGCTGGGTGGACGGTGTGGAGGCACGGCAGGATGGGACAGGTGGTGGGACGCACGCGGGGCAGGCTGCACCACCAGAAATGGGCGTGGGCTGGCTGGCCTGCAGGCCCTCCACCCCGCCCCGCCCCACCTTGCCGCGGTGGAAGGTCACCCCCGAGGCCACGCAGCGCTCCAGCAGGCGGCGCTTGAGCTTGGGGCGGTCGACGCGGCCGTAGGGCCGCGACAGGTACCTGCCGGCGGGCAGCGGGATGGCAGCGGCGGCAGCAGTTGGGTGGCTGGAGGGCATCAGCCGGGCGGCACAGCGCACGCACGCAGGCAGCAGGCAGGCGGGGTGGCCGACGGCGGGCACGGCGGGCGGGCCGGGAGCGCAGCGCCCGCACCTGGCCCCCTCTGGCGAGGCGTCCAGGTGCACCAGGGCGCGGTCCCATGTGTGGTCCAGGCAGTCCTCCAGGCCCATGGCCCGGAACTCGTCAATCCACACCCCAAAGTTGTTCATCCAGGGCGCCAGAGGGTTGGGGTCCACAATCAGCACCTGCCGGGGGAGGGGGAGGGGGCCGGGCAGGCGATGCGCGTGACGGCGGGCCCGCACGGTGCGAGCGAGAAGGCGAGCAGGCATGAGGCGGCGGCGGGAGGGGGCCGCGACAGCCTGCACGCCGGGCCGTGCGTGTGCAGGACGGCCGCGCCGTGCCATGCGGCAGCATGCCGGGGAGCCCCAGCAGGGTCTGCTGCTCACCTGGAAGCCCGCCTGCTGCACCCGCTCCGCCACCGCCAGACCAGAGGGGCCCGACCCCACCACCACCAGGTCAAAGGTGCGTGGCTGGGCTGGATCGTACAGCGACAGCTGGATATCCGGGAACTGCACCTTGTCCATGGGGCTGAGGGGCGCAGAGGGGTCGCTGGCGGGGCCCCGCCCACCCTGCGGCACCACCGCGGTGCTGGGTGGCGCGGCGGCGGTCTCTGCCGCCACCGCCGACCATACCACGCCTCGCCGCCGCTGCTGCTGCCGCTCAGGTCGCCTGCTGCTGCTGCTGCCGCGGGCCAATCGTTGCCGCAGGGCTGGCCCAGGGGCGTGGTAAGTCTTGCTGCTGCTGCTGCTGCTGCTGCTGCTCCTGCCGCGCTGACCGGCTGCTGCCAGCCCCCGTCCGGCAGCGCAGCACTTTGCTTGTAAGCTGGACATGCTGCTGCCGCCGCTGCCGCTACACTGGTGTGAGTGGCTGTCTGGCTGAGTGGAGCGCGAGCCCACAGTTGGCACTGGCTGCGTTAAACACACACTGCACAGACGGGCATGTCAATTCTATAGCGCATTGGCGAGGAGGCTCCTCCTGCAACCTCATCGGCAATCGCTCCACGTGGCATTTTCGCTCCAAAACATCGATCGCCTCGCCCTTTTGCCTGTTTGCACGAGCCGATGGAGGAGCCGCCCAATCCTGCTCACTTGCGGGTTAAGGCAGGCACCGCCGTGGTGACAGTGGCCCTCGCTGTGGGGTTGCTGCTCTTCGACTGGGACTCGGCCACGGGAGGGCATCAGACCGTGTTCAGCAGCGTGCGCCCCGCTGTCAAGGCCGCCCTGAACCGACTCTACGGCAGGGAGCCCTCTGCGCAGCAGCAGCAGCAACGGCAGCAACGGCAGCAACAAGGCGGAGACAGCAGCCGCAGGGCGCAGTCAGCAAGCAGCTGACATGCCCCAGGATGGCACCGTCGGCACATGCGGAGGCGCCAGCTGCCGCGCTTGCAGCAGCAGACCCCGCAGCCATCTGCGCTGCGTGGACGGAATTTTACTTCGCGGATGCCGATGAGGCAGTGCGACAGTATGTCTGCCAGTGAGTGAGACGGGTGTTGGCCTGGGACGCTCCTGCCGGCGCCCCCGCCTGGAGTGCTGCGCGCGGTGTCTCACCCCCTGCCTCACTCCACCACCCCTTCTGCTGCAGAGCGCTGCAGACGGCCTCTGAGGATGAGGACAGCCTGACCGACCAGGCAGCAATGCTTCAGAAGTTTCTGCCCCCTGGGAGCAGCCAGCAGGCACTGGCGGAAGGCCTGCTGCAGCTAGATGCCGCCCTCAGGCGGCGACGGCACGACTTTGGCTGGCTGCGCCAGCCAGAGGCAGGCAAGGCGGCCGACCCATTAGAAAGCAACCAACCCAAAGCAGCAGAATCAGCAAGGGAGCAGCAGCAGCAGCAGCCGGTGCCGCCGTCGCCATCACCAGCTGACAGCAGCAGCGGTGGGCTGAGCGTGGCGGCAGCAGAATTCAGGCCCTCAACCGTCGCTGCCAGTGCTGCTGTGGTGGCAGGCGTGGCCCCCCTGCAGCTGGATGGAGGAGCAGAGGGCTGGGAGGAGGATGAGGGAGCAGTTGCGGCAGAAGTGGAGGGGTGCAGTGGCGGCTGGCAGGACGATGGCCGGTACCGCACGCAGGGAGCTGTCGACGCCAGCTATGAGGCTGGCGTGGGTGCCGCTGGCGCCAGCGAGGCTGCGCTGGCAGCAGAGGATGCCGCGGCCGCCGCCGAGCTGGTGGCAGGCGGCCCCGCTGCCCACGCCGCCTTCCTGGCTGTGCTGGGCGAGCAGTTCCCGCTCTTCTCGCACGCCGCGCTGCGCCAGCTGTTTGAGGAGCAGGGCGGCAGCCTGGCGGCCACCATACACACGCTGTGCAGCCTGGAGGCGGAGATCCAGGGCCAGCAGGCGGCGGGGGCGACGGGGGCGCAGGGCGCCGGCGCCTGGCTGCCGGATGGGACCTATGCCAGCCCCAGCCCAGAGGTGAGCGGGCGGGCCTGCCGATGCCGGCTCGCTGGCCAGTCGTTCAGTGGTGGGAAGCAGGGCCTGGGCTTTGCACCGCAATTGCATGCTGCCTAGCCGCATGCCTGCCGCCTCATGCCGGCATCCGTCTTTGCTGCAGGCAGCCCCGGCCTTCACAGATGACGACTTCCCCACCCTGGGCGGACCCACAGCCAGCAACACCGCGACTGGCAGCGCTTCTGGCAGGGGCACGGGCGGCGCTGCGGCGGCGTATGCCAGCCGCGCCAGGGCGGCCGCCGACCTGCCGGCCCAGCCGGCGCGGCGGCGCCCCACGCAGCGCGGCGCCTCGCCGCCGCCGGCCGCTGCGCCGATCTGGCAGCAGGCGGAGGGCGTGCAGCGCTTCTCCACGGGGGCGGCGCTAGCGGCAGAGTATGCCTCGCTGCGGTCAGATGCGCGGGACCATGCCCGCCTCAGGAATGCCTGCTTCCAGCAGGCGACCCAGGCCTACCTGGCGGGCGACCGCCGGCTGGCAAAGGAGCTGGGGGCGCGGGGCAGGTGGCACGGCGAGCAGATGCACGCGGCGCACCAGGCCGCAGCCAGCGAGCTGTTTGCGCGGCGCAACCCGGGGGCGGCCGGCGGCAGCGGCGCGCTGGGCAGCGGCAGCGGTGGCGGCATGCCCACGCTCGACCTGCACGGTCTGCACGTGTCCGAGGCGCTGCAGCAGCTGGAGGCCCTGCTGCTCAGAATGCAGGGGGGCGGCGGGCGGCGGGTGCGGGTGGTGGTGGGGCGCGGCACGCACGGCAAGGTGCCCGCCCGCCTCCCCGCTGCGGTGCGGCGGTGGCTGCAGGAGCAGCGTGTGCAGTTCTCTGAGCCGTATGCCGGGCTGCTTGAGATCAGGCTGTAGAAAGCACTATAAATCGTCACCTGTCATTACATCAGGAGCAGCAGAAAGGGGAGTGGCCTGAGCACCAGTCTCCAGAGGTGGCACCAGGCCAGCACTGAACGCGAACCTGCTGACAGCCTGCTGACAGCGTCTTGCTGCAGCCTGCCGTCCAGCTTTCACGCTGCCACCACTGGCTGGCCGGTGGTGGTGGTGGTGGTGGTGGTGGTGGTGGTTAAGTTTCTTGGGTGAAGAAGCAGAAATGGTGCATGTCGGGTGCTGCAGGTTTAAAAGGGCCAGGCCACCACCTCACTTCACAGCGCAGCCACAGATGTGGGGGCCGAAGAAGGCCAGCGCCCGGGGAGTGCCTTCCACAAACGACTCATCCGCCTGCCACACAGCGATCGCAGGAGAGGGTCAGCCAATGGAGTGCAGGGTCAGTGGAGACAGGCACGCGCAGGTCCTAGCGGTGCGCACCTGCACCGCGCTGAACCCGGCGGCACGGATGGTCTGCAGGCTGTCGCGGTCGATGTTGCAGCCATCCGCCACCAGCCGCACCACCGGCGCCACCCAGCCCTGCACCGAGGCCAGGCGGGTGCCGGGCTGCGCAGCCACGTGCTCTATGAACAGGTACCTGCCCCCGGGCCGGAGCACCCGCCGCACCTCGGCCACCGCCCGGTCTGGCGAGCCCACGCAGCAGAGGACCTGCACAGCGGGCGGGCGCAGCAGGCAGGCAGGGGGCCTGCTTGGCCGGCGCCAGGGCGTGCAGGGTTGCGGCGTCACAAACACAACCCAGGCAGGCCCCCAGCGCTTGCACATGGCAGGCGGCCTCACGTGCACGGCTATGACCACGTCCACAGAGCCATCTCCCAGGGGCAGCGCCTCTGCCGACCCCGCCACCACCTGCAGCCTGTCGGGCGGCAGGCCTGTGGCGGCGGCGGCCTGCTGGGCGTAGCCCAGCGCAGCCGGGTTGCGGTCCAGGCAGATGTACTGGGCGGTGGTGGCGGAGCCCAGATACTTGAGGCTGGGGCTCGCGCCCACGCCTGCAGCGGCACGGGGGTGCCGGAATCATGATATGTGGGGGATTGGCGTGGACGGTGGTGGAATGGGCAACGGCGGCGGCCGGCGGGGCCCACCGATCTCCAGGACCACCAGCGACTGGTTCCCTTCGCCCAGCTTTCGAAACAGCAGCTCCTTCCTGCTCCTCAGCCTCTCGTCGCTCAGGTGGCAGGTGCTCTTCAAGACCCACGCCGCTATGCGCTGGTGAAGAGAAGGGGAGGCGTGTGCGGTGCAGCTACAGCTGTCTGCATGCTCGCCCGACATGCTGCCTGGCGGTGAGAGTCCAAAAGGGCAGAGAATTGCTCAGGGTTTGCTCGCCCTGCTGTGATAACTCTCGGTATGCTGTGCTGTGCTGTGCTGCGCCCTCAACAGGGTCCAGGCTCCGCTGCACCGACAGATACTCTGCCGTAGCCTAACGGCTCAATTGCAGGGGTCGCCATCACCTCACCAACAAGGCGAGACTGTGAATCGCCGGTAGCACCCGCTGTACCCTCCCCGCTGGGACGCCCTGCTGGTGCTCTCTGCCTCTTGCCTCTTGCGATCAGAGAGCTTCAGTTCATCCGAGACGCAGCACGCTCGCAGTGCCCTCCGCAAACTAACAGCAGGTCCGCTACTGCTTCGCTGCTGCCTTCTCTCGAGAAACTTTGCATGATGATCGCGGCCGGGGGAGGAGGGGCACGCCGACTCAGGCAACAGCGTGTGGGTGACAGCAGCGCTGCGCCGCCGAGGACCGGCGTTGCGAATAGGCCAGCCACGCTCTCTCTTTCTGGTGCGCTGCAGCTGACTCCCCGCTGAGGCACGTCGCCATGGCCACCAACAGCGGCGTCACGAGCGGCAGGGAGCCGGGGCCGGCCGGGGCTGTCAAGAGAGAGGAGGAGGACGCCGCTGGCGGCGGTGCCGGGACCGCCGCCGCTCCGGCCGAGGCGAATGGCGGCACCCACGCCGGCTCGCCGGCAAAGCAGTGCGCGCTGTGCCCGCTCGGCGAGGCGGCGGAGGAGGCACTGGGCCCTCTGCTGGAGTTCCGCTGCACCGCCAAGCAGCGCCCCCAGGGTGTGGCGGGCAGGGTGGTGCTGGTGCACAGCCTCTGTGCCCAGTGGGCTCCGCGGGCACACTACAGCGAAGAGGTGAGGGAGGGGCGCGCCGTGCTGGCGCCGGCCACCGGGGCGCTTCCACCGAGCCGGGACCCATGCCCGCCGCCGCCGCCACCCGCCCACCCCGCCGTGCAGGCCGCGGCACAGCACAGCCTGCTGATGGTGCCGGATGAGGTGCAGCGGGCCAGGAAGCTGCGGTGCAGGCTGTGCAGGAAGCCCGGGGCGGCCATGGGCTGCGAGGAGCGCACCTGCCAGCAGGTGTGCCGCGGGTGCGCCTTGCTGGCGCGCCTTGCTGACGCGTCGGGAGCAGCGCCTTGCTGCTGGAGCTGGCCCGCCCCTCACCCTCCGGTTCCTCCCTGCCTGCCCCGCAGACGTATCACCTCCCATGCGCCATGGGCCAGGTGGGGTAGGCGCGGCCAGCCAGCAGCCAGCATTGGTGGGGGAGGGGGCTATCCGGTGTGGCCGCCGGCCGCCCGGCAGGCAGTCAGGGGCGCGGTGCTGTGTCGCCTGTGGCTGCAGAGGAAGGTCTTCTTCAACTCCACCACCTGGACCGTCTGGTGCCCAGAGCACGGCCCGCTCCAGTGCGGCAGCCTGGCGGAGAACGACGACATGAAGCTGCGGCGGCGCCGCCTGCGCATGCTGGGCACCGGCGTGCGGCAGCACCACGCCGCCCTGGCCGCGGCAGCCGCCGCCGCAGCCGGCAGAAGACGAGGGCAAAGCCCAGGGCCATGTAGTTTCTTATGAAGCGGAAGTGCTGCGTGGCCAGCAGCAGGCCGTCGAACACAAACAGCAGGCCGTTGAGCGGCTGGCAGGCGCACAGCACCGCCCAGGCGCCGCCGCCGCGCAGCGCCTCGTGCACAGCGGGGTCGGCGCTGAAGGCGGCGATGGTGCCGGCCGCCGCCAGCTGGAACGCCAGCCCCGCCGCCGCGCCAGACAGCCCGCCCGCCAGCAGGACGCGCCGCGTCAGCCGCTCCATGCTCCTGCGCCACAGCCGGGTGGCCGGGCAGGCGTGGAGGGCGGGCAGCGGGTGGGGAGGTGAGCGGCGGGCGGCGGGGAGAGCTGGCTGGCAAAGCCCTTGCTCGACACAGGCGGCACGCTCACCGCTTGGCGTCTGCGCGCAGGTGCGGGTCGCGGGCCAGCCCAAAGAGGCGGCTGCCCAGCACGATGCCAGCCGCCGCAAAGCCGTCCACGCCGTACGACACCACAACCCACAGCTGGCTGACGATGCTGTGGGCTGCATCAGGCGGCGCCACACACACACGTGCATGCTCACTCGTCAAGCCACCAAGGGGGATAGGCTGGCGGTGCGCTGGGCGGGGAGCAGCACTGCTGGAGGGCAGCTGGCGCACGCATGTGGGGCGGCGGGCAGCGTGCCGGCCAGCCGGGGGGTGCCCACCTGCCAGTGCGGCGGTTCCCAGGCGCGACGCCGCGGCCAGCGCCAGGAAGAAAGTCAGCTGCAGCAGCACAGACCTCAGGAACATGTCGCGCCCATCCCTGCATGCATGAGAGCGAAGGGCAGGCGCCGGGAGTGGAGCGGGCGCAGCATGAGCAGTGCAGTGCAGCAAGGCAGGGCGTGTGCCGGCACCCCGTGGGTGGAGGGCGGCCCACGGAAGCAGCAGCACCGCCCTGTGACGAGGCAGGCAGGCAAACGAGCACCCTTGCTCCAGCCGCAGGACAGGTCGGCAGGCAGGGGAGCTCGCCTCAGGAACTCCAGAGTCGCCGCATCAAGCAGGCGCGCGCTGCCCCCCTCCGAGCACGGCTGCTGCTGCTGCTCTGCCCCCTGCTGCTTCTGGGGCTGCTGCGGCGTGCCTTGCACCTCCTCTGCCTCCATGCCGCCTCGGATAGGACTGCCACCTGGTGCCGTCGCTGCTGCTGCCGCCTCCTCGGTACGGCCTGCGAGCAGCGGCTGACTGGCGCTGCCGCTACCGCTGCCAGGGCTGCCGCTTTTTCTGCTCCACCTGCTGCTCAAGCCCAGCACCTCTCGCAGCAGGTCCACACGCCCCCGCGCCTCTGCCGGCGGCAGCGCCACGATGCACGCCAGCGCGGCCGCCGCCAGGAGCGCCTGGCAGGCGCAGGTGACGCAGCCCACGGCCAGCAGGCCGCTGGCGCTGGTGCTGGCGGGCGCCGCTGTCGGCGGCGCCGGCTGCCGGGCGGGCCACAGCAGCACCGCTGCGCTGCCACCCATCTCCAGCAGCGCTGCAACGCTGGTCAGCGCGGCGTTGACCCGCACCCGCCCGAAGCCCTGCAGCCATTGGGGCGAGCCAGTGAGCAAGCAGGTCCCCGGCGGTGGCTGGACTCTTTCTGTCTGTCTGTCTGTCAGTCAGGCAGGCAGGCAGTACCACGCCGGGCCCCCACCTGCAGCACCCCTGCAGCTGCCATGGCTGCCATCTGGACAGGCACGAGCAGCGTGCGCAGCAGCCAGTAGCCCGCCGCCTCCGCTTGAACATCCTCGCCAAGCGCCAGCACTGTGGAGCACAGGGGCGCCCGCGCAGCCAGCAGCAGCGGCACCGCCGCCGCCCCCAGCGCCAGGCTCCACCGCAGGCTCAGCGCGACGTGTGCGGCCAGCTGGGCCCAGGCGCGCGACCCCACGCACCGCCCCACCTTGCTGCTGACGCCGTCCACCTGCGTGTGGTGAGACAACAGAAATGCTGCTGGGCAATCAAACTTGAAGGCGCCAGGGGCGGGCCCGTCTTGTGTTGCATCTGGCGCCGAAACCCACCAGGAAATTGAACACTCTGCACACAAAGCCGACGCACAGCCCGACGGCGGCAAAGGCTGCCAGCGAGGAGGTGGCGGCGTACCGGCCCAGCAGTGCCGTCTGCACAGCCACCGTGATGGGCGGTGCGGCTGCAGGGCGAGGCAGTGGAAGTAGTAGGGGAGAGATGTGGCGCTGTTGGTCCATTTGCAGGAGGGAGAGACGAGTGCAGACAGCAGTTGCCAGGCATTGGCTAGCAAGTGCAGTGCTCCTCATACGACAGGCGGGCGGCAGCATCACCCGCCGCCGCAGCGAGCTCATCGCCGACGCCAGGCGGCATCTCACCGTTCAGCACGATCGCTGGGATGCTCACGCCGACGATTGCTTTCACGGAGCTCAAGGCGTGGCACACAGACATTGTAGCAGGAGCCTGAGCCGGCTCCCTGCCTTGCGTTTTCCCGCTTCCTGGTTACCTTATGATTGATCGCTATGATGCTATTCCCTATTCTGAGGCTTGTCAGCCTTGCATCATGAGCCGCTTTCCACTTCGCTTGACTGTGTACTTTAGCCGTGGAAGAGCAGGTCCTGTAAGCATTCTCACTCGAACAAGCCCGCTCCCAGGAACCGGGTGCGGCTACAATTGGGGGGACATCCGAGAAACAGTCGTGCTGCACTGCTGCAGCGCGAGATAACTCACATGGCTCAGGTGTGTGCCATGCGCGAGTAAGCGCCTAGCTCGTGCCTGTGCCCGGGGGTAGGGGTTGGGGACATAGCTGGGGGAGCCGGCAGGGGCTTGCCGGTTATGCATGCAGGCCATCACTAGCAATCGGGCTGCTCTGAGCGCCACCGGGCTGCTTTAAGCGCCACTGGGCTGCTTTACGCGCCACTGGGCTGCTTTGAGCGCCACTAGAAGCCCTGGGAGACTAGCCTTGTGCTTGGAAGGGTCGGAAGGATCTACCAGCATCCAGACGCATCCCACCCACGACGCGAGCAATTCTCCGCGCCTTGTAAAGGGGCGCTGACGCCATGGACGTGGTGCTGGCCTACGGACCCACGCCTGTCGCAGCCGACCCGGCCCAGGACCCCGGCGCCGACAGGGGGACGCTGGCCGCCCAGCTGGACCAGTCGCTGGCAGCTTTATGAGCATTGATTGGTACTTGCAGTAGTTGCACGGCTGTTTAACTGAGTTTGCTTCACGGTACTCTGGCCTAGAGATAATCAGCTGCCATGGAGAGTGGCACTGATCCCCGGGCGGATGGAGAGTCGCCCGACCCGGGCAGTGATGGTGCAGGTTCACGCACAGGTGGCGAGCTGGATTCGGCTGCGCCCACAGGAACGACAATACTACCCGTTGGCGGCGGCGGCGCAGGAACTGGCACTGGTGATGAGTTGCCTCCGGCTGCGCCCCCCGCCCCAGCACTGGGCCCTGGCTGACAGCACAGGGTCGAGCGGCCCACAGGGCGAGCAGCAACAAGGGGTGGACGACCCACCTGCACCCCTGGCTGGTCCGCCAGGGCGTTTCAACTGAACCCAGGGGCAGCAGATCCAGCTGCAAGGGAGGAGGGCTGTGATGCTGGGCACAGCCGGAGCTTGGAAAGGACAACGGATTTGAGCAGGGTCCAGGGCGGTTACAGCCCTGGCCGGGCAAGTGCCTCCGCGGGAGCGCCAGGTGGCGCCCCCGTTGCGCGCGCAGGAGAGGAGGCACATGCCGAGACGGGGGAGGAGAGCCATGCTAGCCAGCCTGGAGCGGACCCCCGCTCTGAGGTACCTTCACAAAATGTACCTGTGGAGGCAGCACCGGGCAGCGCGTTGCCGCCCAGTGCTGAGTGTGCGGTCGGGCAATCCACCCAGCACAGGGGCCAAGTGACTGCAGCACTTGCCCCCACCCCAGCAGAGATTGCTGAGGGTCCTGGGAGTGGGTGTGCACACGGTAACACGGAGTGCCAGCTGGCGGATGCGGTCCCAGCTGACGCCTCCCCGGATGAGGGAGGGACCTCCTCGGTATGTGAGGAGGGCACTGTGCTGACGGCTAGTACAATCACAATGGGGCATGTCCCAGGGGACCTGATCAGTCCCTGCTTGGGCAACCAACGGAACCAATGTGAAGCCCAAAGCAACCAGATGGGCGTTGGCGGCGCGGGTGGCGGCGAGGTCGGAGACGCCGCCGCTGACTGCCACAACCCCCACCAGACCGGGACGGACCCCTTTGATGTACTGTTAATGTACAAGGAATGGCTGGAATGCCCTGAGCCCTACTGCCAGCAAGTAAATTCCCTGCTCATGGAAATGGCAGCAGGCAGGCAGCCATTCCCCGACAGGGGAGTAACCCTGAACGCCATCCGCTCGGCACAGCGGCAGGCGCCAGGGCGGGTGATGAAGCTGATTGGTCTCCTCCAGGATAGGAGAGGCACCTTGCTGGTGGATGGCGGTGCCGACCTCTGCTTCATGGACCCAGCAGTCGCCGAGGAATTGCAGCTGACCCCTCAGCCGTATGAGGGCGGAGCCGCATCGGTGACGCTGGCTGATGGCCGGCAGCGCCCACTGCTGCAAAGTGTGCAGTGCTTTGTCCAGATTGGGCAGTACACCGACCACCTGCAGTTTTTGCTGACACCTCTGGTCGGCATGGATGCAGTCTTGGGTGCTGACTGGCTAGCCACGTACAGGGTGGCCACGGATTACAGGGCCCGAACTGTGCAGTTTCAGGGCCCGACGGGGCGGCACCACACCCTGGAGCCGGATACCGACTATAACACGCCGACGTGCCTGTTGACGGCAGCCGAGGTGGATGCTGCCTTCACGGCAGGGGAGATTGAGAGCATGAGTTTTGTGCTGCCTAGAGGGCTCAAGGACCCGGCAGCGCATGGCGCCACCACGGCAGGGCTGTCCGCCGCCACAATGGCAGGCGCCCCGCCGGCAGACGCGCCAGCGCCCACCTGCAGCCCAGTACCTCAGGCTGCAGGCGGCGCTCGCTCCACCGGCATCCCCGGGGCGGGCCCCACTACTTTCCTGACTTCGGCGGAGCTGCGGAAGGCAGCTGGTCTCAGCAGGGAGAAGCTGCTGGCCACCTACGCTGACCGCCTGGTGGAGGACATCCCCTCTCTCCCTCCTGACCGCGGCAGATTTAACTTTACCATTGACGAGGAGCCTGGTGTACGGCCCGTCATGCGCCCGGCCTATCGGATGTCGGCGGCAGATCTGGAGGAGTTGAGGCGGCAGCTGGCTGAGCTGCAGACGAAGGGATTCATTCGTGCCTCCTCCTCTCCCTATGGTGCACCTGTGCTGTTTGTGACCAAGAAGGGCGGCGCCAAGCGGCTTTGTGTTGACTGGCGTATGCTCAACCAGCAGACCATCAAGAATGCACACCCCTTGCCCCGGATTGACGAGACGCTGGATCAGCTGCTGGGTGCCAAGGTGCTGAGCAAGCTGGACCTGGCCAATGGCTACCACCAGCTGCTGATGGACCCGGCGCACGTCCACAAGACGGCCATGAACTGCGGCCGGTATGGGCTGTGGGAGTGGGTGGTGATGGGTTTTGGCCTGACCGCCGCCCCTGCAAAGTTTCAGACGCTGAATCATGTGATCACTCCCGACATGGCAGCGTACTGCGTGGTGTACCTGGATGACATTTTGGTGTTCTCCCGGTCTGAGGGGGAGCACAAGCAGCACCTGGCCCAGGTGTTCCACAGGCTGAGGCAGTTCCAGCTGTATGCCAAGGAGAGCAAGTGTGAATTCTTCTGCACTGAGCTGGAGTACCTGGGGCATGTGGTCTCTGCCGACGGCGTGCGGCCGGTACACAACAAGGTGCTGGCGGTGCAGGAGCTGCTCCCGCCCCGCACCCCCACAGAAATCAAGCAGTTCATGGGGATGGTTGGGTTTTACCGCCGCTTCATCCCTCACCTGTCCCACATCTCCAAGCCGTTGCGAGACCTGGAGAAGAAAGGCACTGCCTTTGTGTGGACAGCGGCGCACCAGCGTGCTTTCCAGGAAGGACGCGCTGACCTCGGCCCCCTTGCTGAGTGTGTTTGACCTAGGCAGGCCGGCAGTGGTCTACTGCGACGCCTCTGAGTATGGCGGCACCGGGGCCTGCCTAATGCAGGACTTTGGCAGCGGGCTGCAACCCGTTGCTTATGAGAGCAGGGGCTACTCCCCCGCTGAGCAGAACTACCCAGTGCATGACAAGGAGATGCTGGCAGTGGTGAGAGCTCTGAAGACGTGGAGACACTACCTGCTGGATGTGGAGCTGACGGTGTACACAGACCACCACTCGCTGCAGTTCTATAACCAGAAGAGCGTGCACTTTTCGCCGCGGCAACAACGGTGGGCATTCTTCTTGCAGCAGTACCCCCGCTTGCGGTTGACCTACACCCCCGGCCGGTACAATGTGGTGGCTGATGCGCTCTCCCGCAACCCAGCGCGGAGTCGGCGCTCCCGGGCACGAGCGACACGGGTGACGGCGGCGTTCTCCTCCCTGCGGACCAAGTTGTGCTGCTCGCCGGCTCACGCGGCAGCACTGGCGGTCCACACGGCTGTTGTGGAGACCGCTGGCCTGCACCTGTCGGCGCTGGCAGTGTCTCACACCCCAGATTCCTTCTTTGCGGAGCTGCGGGTCTCGTACGCCCTGGATCCTGTTGCGTGCGGGGGCTTGGCTGCTGTTGCGGCGGCTGAGGAGGCTGCGGCTGCGCGTGTCACTGCGACTGAGGCGGGCGTCCCTGCGGTCCCCGCCCCCAGCCCTGGCCCCTCTGGTGCTGTCGACGCCAGCGCCCCCGAGCCAAGCTGGCAGCAGTGGGAGTCCCACCAGGGCCTCCTCTTCTTTAGGGAGGGAGAGGGGCAGGATTTGCGGCTGTATGTGCCCGCCCCTGCTGGGCTGCCCCCATCTGCGCACTCCCTGCGGCAGCGGCTGCTGGCCGAGCACCACGATGCTCCGGTCGCTGGCCACTTGGGACGCGACAAAACTTTGGAAGTGCTGGCACGGCGCTTCTACTGGCCTGGTTTGGCCAAGGATGTGACTACTTATGTGCGGAGCTGTGCGGTCTGCCAACGCACTAAGACCCGGAACCAGCCTCCCCTCTGGCATTGTGTCAGACCGGGACAGCAGATTTGTGGGTGTCTTCTGGCGCTCGCTGCAGCGGCTGCTGGGCACGCGCCTGCACCTGTCGACGGCCTACCACCCACAGACAGATGGGCAGACCGAGCGCGCCAACCGCACTCTGGAGGAGATGCTGCGCGCCTTCGTCGACACTGAGCAGCAGAACTGGGATGAATTGTTGTGTGCTGCTGAGTTTGCATACAACAACTCACTACATAGCAGCTCGCAGTTCACCCCCTTCTACCTGAACACTGGACGGCACCCTCGCACCCCTGCGACGCTGCTGAGTGATGTGCCCCTTCCAGCTGCCAGCCGGAGCCCAGACGCCGACT